TTATGAGCCAGGATATCTTGGGAACTGTTCCACGTTCGCTTGAGTTGCTGGGTAGAGTATTTTTATAAATTTATTTATTTTTGGCTGTGTTGGGTCTTTGTTGCTGCGCACGGGCTTTCTCTGGTTGCGGTGAGTGGGGGCTACTCTTCGTTGTGGTGGCTTCTCGTTGCGGAGCACGGGCTCTAGGCGTGCGGGCTTCAGTAGTTGTGGCACATGGGCTCAGTAGCTGTGGCTCATGCGCTCTGGAGCACAGGCTCAGTAGTTGTGGCGCACGGGCTTAGTTGCTCCGCAGCATGTGGGATCTTCCTGGACCAGGGCTTGAACCTGTGTCCCCTGCGTTGGCAGGTGGATTCTTAACCACTGAGCCACCAGGGGAATCCCTAGAGTATTTTGTAAGTGTAAATCAGATCTAGTTGGTTGATGGTGTTGCTCAGCATTTTTATATTTTGTTTATTTTTTTGGTCTATTTTTTCTTTGAGAGATGAGTATTGATGTCTCAAACAATAATTGTGGATTTGTTCATTTCTCCTTTCAATTCTATCAGTTTTTGCTTCATGAATTTGAGGCTGTAATGTTAGGTACATACACAATTAGGATTGTTATTTTTCATTATTATGTAATGTCCCTTTTATGCCTGAATACTTTTCTCAGATATGAATAACCATTCCAGCTTTCTTTTAATTAGTGTTTGCATGGTACCTCTTTTTCTAACTTTTATTTTTAATCTACCTCTATCATTATATTTGAAGTGGGTTTCTTGTATACAGCTTTGGGTTTTTTATCCATTCTCATAACCTCTGTATTTTAATTGTTGTGTATATCATTTACATTTAACATATATCAATGTATTTTAATTTAGGCCCACCATTTTCTTACTTGTTTTCTGTTGTTTCTTCTGTTTTTTTTTGCGGTACGCGGGCCTCTCACTGTTGTGGCCTCTCCCGTCGCGGAGCACAGGCTCCGGATGCACAGGCTCAGAGGCCATGGCTCACGGGGCCAGCCGCTCCGTGGCATGTGGGAATCTTCCCGGACTGGGGCACGAACCTGTGTCCCCTGCATCGGCAGGCGGACTCGCAACCACCACGCCACCAGGGAAGCCCTGTTTCTTCTGTTTTTGATTCTTCTGTTTCCCGTTTTAAATCTTCTTTTGGATTATTAGAATTATTTTACTGTTTCATCTAAATTTATCTATTGAGTTTTTGAACATATCTCTTTGTATAGGTTATTTTAAAACATTAAAGAATTTTTAGTGGTTGCTTTAGAGATTATAGGAACTTTTCATTTCACCATAAGTGAAATGTAAAAACGTTGCCACACCTATCCCCAGTATATTTTATATCCAAAAACATTGAAAATACCACCAGACTATGTTTTAACTTTTGCTTTACTGTCATAAATGTTTTAAAGAACTTGAGGTGTTTTCATTTCTACTGTTCTTCTAGATAGTTATCTAGATATTTATCATTTTTTGAAAATTGAAGTATAGTTGATTTACTACCATTTGCTTTTCTCTTCCTTCCTTCTCTCTTCCTTCTTCCTTCATTTCTGAAGTTTCCATCTCTCTCTGTAGTATCACTTCCCTTTGGTCTGAAGAACTTCCTTTAGCATTTCTTTTAGAGCAGATCTTCTGGCAGTGGATTCACTTGGTTCTCCTTCATTTGAGAATGTCTTCATTTTACCTTCACTGCTTAAGAATTCTAGCACGACAGTTTCTTTCAGCATTTTAATAATATTGTTCCACTGCCCTCTGGCCTCTATGGTTTTGACTGAGAAATCTGCTGTTATTTGATTCTTTGTTCCTCATAAATGTGTCATTTTTCTCTGGCTGCTTTCAAGAGTTTTTGTTTGTTTTATGTTTTTTGTCTTTATTTTTCAGTGGTTGCTAGGTGTGAATTTCTTTGAACTTATCCTGTTTGGTGTTTGATAAGCCTCTTTAGTCTGTATGTTTTATGCCTTTTTCAAAAGTTGGAAAGTTCTAAGTTGTATTTCTTCAATTTTTTTTTTTATACTACACTCTCCTAATTTTCTCCTATTTTTCTGGGACTCTGATGAAAAAGACCTTTTGGTATTGGCTCAGAGGTCCCTGAGGCTCTCTTAATTTTTTCTTTTCTAAGTTTTTTCCCCCCTGTTTTCATATTGGATAATTTTTGTTGATCTGTCTTCAAGTTCACTGAGTATTCTGTCATCACCATTTGTTGAGCCCATCCAGTCCATTTTTATTTGGTTTTTGTATTTTCCATTTCTAAAATTTTTATTTGGTTCTTTTGTACGTTTTCTGTTTCTCTGCTGAGACTTTATTTTGCCATTCATTTCAAGACAGTGCACCCTATGTCTTGGCATTTTGCCAACATCTTAATCACTTGACTTTAAACCATGTTTACGAGTCTTTTTGTAGTTAGAAGTCTTACATTTTGATATAATCAAATCATATAATTTATTCTTTGTGCATTTTGTTGACCCTGTCTTAGGCATCCTCTATACAGTATTTTATTTCATTTAGTACTGACAAAAGTGTATTATCTCTATATTATAAGTGAAGAAACTGAGGCTCTGAAAGGTAGCAAATCTAGGGTTACTCTATGAGAAGCGTTAGGATTGAACTTAGTGTTGTCTCCAAAGCCCCTGATCTTTCTGCTTTGCCTTTGAGAACTGAGCTGGAGTAGTGACTTGGAGAATGGAAGGGGAACAACAGATGCATGAGTTATGGCCTGGGCAGACACACTGGGTTTAATACAACATCATCAGCAGTCTCTTCACAGTTCAAATAGTCTTTAAAAAGGATGCCTTCATCTAATATTATTTTTAAGTTATTTTTTGTTAGGAAATTTATACTAAAAAAATTCAAAAGGTAAAAAGGTTATATAGCATATACTTCCAGATACATACCATTTATATCAAGCAAGTAAGCATATCTTCCCCTTACTTTTCACAATGGTAGCCTGCCACATATAATATTCTATACCATAGTGTTTTTGTTTAACAGTGTGTCTTGATAACTTCCTTTGAGTACACAGAGTGATCTCTTATTCTTTTTAGTGGCTCCATAAGATTCTGTTGAGTGGCCATATCATAATTTACTTATAACCATGGACTGTTGACTTTCAAAAATGTGAAAAATGAACTGTAACATACATGTAGGAGCACGTTTAAATCACGTGAGAACGGTTCAATAAATTATCAAAAAAGTGAACATAGGGCTTCCCTGGTGGCGCAGTGGTTGAGAGTCCGCCTGCCGATGCAGGGGACACGGGTTCGTGCCCCGGTCCAGGAAGATCCCACATGCCGCGGAGCGGCTGGGCCCGTGAGCCATGGCCGCTGAGCCTGCACGTCTGGAGCCTGTGCCTCGCAATCGGAGAGGCCACAACAGTGAGAGGCCCTCATGATGCAAAAAAAAAAAAAAAGTGAATATATAAGTAGCTTTAGTGTGTATGCTAATTTCTGTTCTTGGAGTTAGGTTAACCTGCTTTAGAAAGCTTGCTGGATGTTACACACAAGTAAATCAGGTGTTTTCTGTAGGCAGTGAGGTTTACTTGACACATCATAGTCACTGGAGCCAGACAGGGCAGGATATGAATCTCAGCTTTTCCACTGGTTATGTGATTTTTGATCATGTGTATAGCGGGGGTAATCTGCTCTCAGAGTTGTTTTAGGGGTGCAGATATTGTATTTAAATTACCTAAGCTCAGTGTCTCTTACATAGCAGGGTCTTGGTAAATACTAGTTTTCTTAATCTGTTTTTTTTTTAATTTCCAACTTTTAATTTTAACAAATCTTAAACTTATGGAAAAGTTGCAAAATAGTACAACAAACAACCATATATTCTTCATCTAGATTTATCAATTAATATTTTGCTACATCTGCTTTATCTCTTTTTTTTCCCTCCCTCCCCACTTATTAGAGAGCTAGTTGCAGGCATGTGACAGCACCCTTAAGTACTTCAGCATGTATCTCTTACTTAGGATATTCTCCTACAAAATCATAATACTCTTACCTTATATAAAATTGTTATTCAGATTCCCCCAGTTATCTCCATAGAGCTTAAAAAAATTTCAAGATTCACTATATGATTTCACTGTACTTAGTAGTCAGGCCTCTATTACCTCCACTTATTTAGAAGAGTCCCCCAGCCATTTTTGCCTTAAGATTGTCATTAAAATTTTTGAAGAGTCCAGGCCCGTTGTTTGTAGAATGTCTTTCAATTTGGATTTGTTTGATTGACAACTCTTGATTAGACGCAAGTTAAAGGTTGTAGGCATTTTGGGAGTTCCCTGGCGGTCCAGTGGTTAGGACTCGGTGCTTTCACTGCCGGGCCTGGGTTTGACCCCTGATCGGGGAACTAAGATCCTGCAAATAAATGGTGAGGTGCAAGAAGAAAAAACAAAAAGATTGTAGGTGTTTTAACATTTTAAATGCAATTGCTTACTTTCAGTGATTTAGTTCAGGAGGCACGAGATGTCATTTTGTTCCACCAGGAGGTGGTATTAAATATATTCTCTTGATTAGGGTGGTGTCTAGTAGGTTTCTAAATTGTGAAGATACTCTCCTTTTGTAAATAACAAGCCATCTGAGGGGTGGTATCTTGAGACAGTGGGAATATCGTGTCTTCCAGTGTTCTTTCACCTGATGCTTTACGCATTGATGATTCCTGCCTGAGTCAGTTATTACCATAGCAGTTGTATAAGGGTGATTTTCTCTTCCTGTTATTCTTCTACATTTATTAACTGGATTTCTTTTGTAAAGAAGAGCTTCCCCTTTTCCTTTCCTTTTCTTTCTTTACCTGTTTACTCACTGTCAGTGTGGAGTCATGAATCCTCTCTCCACTCAGTCATCATTCATTTCAGTGCTCAGATGGTCCTGAGTTTGGCTCTTACTTCTGGGTTAGTACAGTTATAGCAACGGTAAGCTTTTACTCCATTTGTAGCCTTGGAAGCTATGGGGGTTCATGCAGGTATTGTCCCTTAGATCTTACTTCTGATGACCCATCTGTTCTTATTTTCTAGCAAATCACTGAATTGAAGAAAGAAAACTTTAACCTAAAGCTCCGCATCTATTTCCTCGAGGAAAGGATGCAACAGGAATTTGATGGCCCCACTGAACACGTCTACAAAACTGTGAGTGCCCTGCTTCTTGCCGCCATTCCCAGTGTCTTTTCTAACAGTCATTCCAAGCAGAAGTTTGATTAATATTTGTTCTCAGAGTTGGCATGAGTAGAGAGCACTGCTTTCACTTCATTTGAATTGATTACAGGGAGCATGAAGAGATAATAGGATGACCTTAATATTAAGCAAAAGGCGATACAAGATTAATTTTAAGGGAGTCCTTCTCTCTTCTTAAAGTGGGCATTCTGATTTACCATATCTCAATTGCCTTTTTCTCATTATTTATAATTTAGACAAAGACAGTGAAATGGTAGAATGTCTTTGGAATTGAATCCTATTGTTACTGACTAACTTGTGTAACTGTAGGCAAGTCACTTCAGCTCTCTGGGCTTGCTTCCAGAGTTAAGTGATAATCCCTCTGTCTTGGGGTTATTTGTGTGGATTAAAATGAGTTGACAGATGAAAAGCCTCAGCACCCAGTCAGCGCTTGACAATGATCATCACTGTCTTCTTGGGGCTTCCGTGGGCGGCCCGAAGGTAGGCTTGTCATTTTTCCTGTGATCTGACTCTTCTGTATTCCTGGTGTGCCTGCTTATCACTGTCAGAAGAAAGAGTCTATTCCTATCTCAAGTCTTGACCTGGAGGTCTCCGCCTGAAAACAAACCTTGGTTCTGAAAGTTGAAAAAAGAACTTGGCTTTCTTGAAGAGACATGAGTGCAAACAATATTTTAGTGCCCGTTTCTTGACTTTCTCTAGGAGATTAGCCCTTGGCCTGAGAATTCTTCCATTTTTTCTATTCGGAAGTTTGCACCAGTGGAAGCTTTTGAAGGAGGAAAAAGAACTCTCCTTGAGTTTTAGCGGACGGACTTAAATGGGCTTGTCTTGAAGAGGGATTGTGCTGTACTTCTGGGCCTTTTCAACCATTGAAAAGCTCCCTTGTCCCTCAAGACACGATTTCTCTTTCTTTATTGTGGGAGAGAAGGACAGTGAGGGTCTCCCCTTCTCTGGAAGGAAGTGGTGGTGCAATCAGAATTTTAAAGAAAACCCAGTAACCGAAAATATTTTGTATGCAAGTATGATTATCATGTATCTCAGAACGAATATGGGTGTTAGGACATCAAAGTAAGTGAATTGCCTGCTCCTGGTCGGGCACCTGTCCTGGGCATTTGTGCATTCAGCAGCTTGTTTTAATTCTCAAGACAGTCCTGTACAATGAAGGTGGTCCTCACCTTGCAGGAGAGGCAGTTGAAGCTCAGGGAAGATCAGCAACTTGCTCCCTGTCGTATAGCTGCTGTGTGAGATGGGTTTTGGGCCCGGGTCTGCCTACCTCATTCTACTACACAGTTTCAGCTCTTTTCCACTGTTTGGCTAGATGACTTGATTTAATTACACTTTTATTTAAATTTTAATTTTTTGGATAGGTGTACATGGTTCAAAATCAAAAAGCATAAAAGGTATACACTGGAAAGACTTTCTTCCACCCTTGTCTCCTAGATTCCCTGGATCTAACCAATATCATTAATTCCTCAGGCAGAGAAATTTGATGTGTACACAAGCAAGCACTGTGTGTGTACGTACATGTGTACAAACCCCCTTTTCACATAAATGCGAGCATGTTCTGCTTTGCACCTCGCACTTTTCCTTAACAATATCTTGAACGTCTTTCCTTAATAGTGGCTTAAGAGCTGCTTCCTTCTTTTTTATAGTGATTTTCCATTTGATGCTTACAAGGCGTCTTGATTTTTGGTTTAGACGTTATGGTCGCCATGTATATAGGTTTATAACTTCAAGTATTGAGCTTGCAGAAAAGTCTAGTGGACCTGTTAGCAGTCCATTCGTTTAAATTTGCTGGGCTGGGGTGCCAATTGGTTCATCAGAAAGCAAAGCACTTAGAACATGATATCAGCTGTTACATAGAAGCTCTCTGCCCTTCAGAGAGCTGGAACAGGAATCTTCTCTTTGAAGGGTGTTTCTGCAGTTTTCACAAAACCACAGTGGAAGACATTGTGCACTGTCACTCAGTGTCCTTTATGCCAAGATCAGTTTCTTCTAGAAAAAGTTCTGCTGCAGAGATGACTTCTTTAGTTCCTGTTGTTTGACAGTGAAAAAAATAACACAGTCTGAGCCTTGTCTCATAGCCTCTTCTCATTTGTTAGTTCATTCAATCCTCAAATCCAACATGTCAGGTGGGCTTTATGTTTTTCGTGTGACACTTGAGGGATCCGAAAAGAGACACCTGCTCTCTGACCTCCTGGGCTTGTGTTTCTAAGGACAGTTACAGGCTCGCACTTGCACTTTCATATTGGATGTGAGCAGGAAGGCAGGGCCTGCGTCTGCCTCGTCTACCGTGGTGGCCTTGGTGCTTAGCCTGTGCTTGGCCTGTCACAGGGGTTGGTGTATGTCTGCGAAGTGAAGGAATGAGTAAATAAATGAGTATCCACTGACTTGCCACGGTTTCCTCCTGGGAAGGAGTGGAGGCAGAATTTGAAGCCAGGTCCGTCTAGTCCCAAGGCTGTGGTCTTTCCATTCTAGCTGACTTCTCAGTCAGGGGTGCTCTTCCCCCCAGGGCTCCTTGGCTAAAAGGAGGTAGACCTGTCCTCGGAGATTGTAAATTTTACCAGAAATGGTATTTTTATTTAAAATAATACACATGTAGTATGGAATAAAATGTAAAGTTGGCATAAATTATTAAAATAAAGCAGGAGCAAGATTAGAGAAATCTTGGATTTACAGCAGTCCCCTGCAGGCTGCGCACTCAGACCTTCCTCTTTACTGCATGAATTCACCTAATATTCACCTAATATTCCGTCTGGGGTACATCTGTGGACTGGTTTGCGAAGCTGATCTCTCCCCGCTGCCTCACGTTGTGACCCGTGTGCCAAAGAGTCTGTCTTTGGATTCTCACGTGAGTTACAAGCCCAGGACCATGTGTGTCTCCCTTTGTTCCAGTCACTTAAGAGGAAGACGGCTGGGGAACACTGTGGTGTCCCCTCTAGACAGCTGGCCCTGTGTGGTCACGGCTCTTTGGGAAGGGAGCACCCTGAGATCTTAAACTGAAATGAGACAGGCAGTGATGTGGCTTCCTGCTCATCCATCCACAGGTTTTATGTTTTTGATGCTGTAACACATTCCCGCTGCTACACCACCGCATGCATGATTGCAAACAACCAGAAGTAATTGCCTCGGAATGGTAAAAGCAAGCTGCAGAATTGATTGTAAACTTGCCTGGTGGAGGGCAAACAATTTTTAAATCAGCCTCACTTGTATGACATTTATGCCTGAACGTTTGAATGCTCTGGCTCTTAGACGCTTGGAAAATTTACATAATTGTTCCAAGCCTTGAGAAATCCAGGGCCTCCTTTGGAGCCCACCAGTGTTCAGTAATTCCCTTTTCCCTGTGCCCCGAGGCTAATGAGGGTTTGAATCTAGTATCTGTCTATTATGAGCATCACGGAGCCAGTCCGTGCTGAAAGCAGGTTTCCCACTATAGGCATTCGGATGTCCTGTGCTTCACACTGTTTCTTTTCTTTCCTAATCTTGTCTGGAAGAACATCGAGCTCAAGGTGGAAGTAGAGAGTCTGAAGCTGGAGCTCCAGGAGAGAGAGCGTCTGCTCATCAAAGCCTCGTGAGTACCTGTCCCCCTGCCGCGAGCTCACAGGTCGCCCAGGGTTCTGGTGGTGGAGGCTGGGTGCGTCGGTACAAGAGAACCTTGTGTTTCTAAGCCAGTTCTTCTCCAGCGGGGCTCTGAGGACCGCGAGGAAATTTACATTTTTATTTAATTATTTTTCAACAAACTTTTAAAATGTAACATACTTACAGGAAGATGAACCGATCGTAAGTGTACATACAGCATGATGATTTTCACAAAGCAGGCACAGCTGTGGGCCACCTTCCAGATCAGAAACCAGAACATCACCAGCCCCCCGGACGCTTCCTTTGTGCTCCCAGAACTTACCCTTCTCCCTCAAAGATAACCGCTGCTCACCGCTAGCATCCGCATTGCTTAGTTCTGCCTGGTTTTGAACTGTATAGAAAAGGAATCGTACACTGTGCACCCGCCCTTTTGTGTCTGGCCTCTTTGCTTAGCCATGTGTCTGTGAAATCCATCCCTGTTGTCAGTTACATCAGCAGCTCCTTCATCTTCATTGCTGTGAAAGGCTGGGGGGCCTCAGGGTCCTGAAGGACTCCTGCGGTGGGTGAGGCAGGGGGGCAGAGGGTGGGGCTTCAACCGGAGGAACTCGTTCTTGTATGTGTTTTATGTACTAGGGTCCCTTGTAATATTTAGTTGATAAGAGGGGTTCTACTGCTTTAAAAAATTTGAAAACTATTACCTTAGTCAATCAATCAGTTAATTAATTTAAATATTTATTGAACAACAAGCACAGTTCAGAGGATACAGTCTGTGACTCAGTTGGTCATTCATTCATTCATAAACATTTCTCGCGTAAGTGTGCCACACGCTGAGGACTTGAGAAGAGATGTCCCTTCCCTCAGGAGCTCATTGGAGACGGGTGAGCCTGTGAACGGGGTATGCTGGAGGTGCAGTGACAGAGGGCGTTTGTGGGCACGGGGTGAGGCACCAAAGTGTGCTGAGTTTCGCTTGGTGAGAGAGGAGTAAGACTTCCCAGAGTTGACCCACCACGGACCTGGCTGGAAGCTTACCTGGGAACGCTTCATCTGTGCTAGCAGCAGAGCTCCTGCTGGGTACGGCTGCCCAGGGGCGTAGGGCCTTTGGCCTAGGGCACAGCTGCGCTGCTCTGGGCCAGGCCACACAATTCCTTTTATTGTCACATAGCCAGCAGCCGGCATGGACTGCTGTGGGCTCTGAGTAGACTAGAGGTTCCCTGGCCCAGGCTTCTCTGAGTTATGCTGACTGTGCACACGTGGTATTTTCTGAGTGAGTGAGTGATGAATGAATGAATGAACAAACTAGATTGACACTTTTTTTTTTTTTTTTTTTTGGCCATGCTGCTGGGCTTGCGTGATCTTTGTTCCCCATCAAACCCGGGCTCAAGGCAGTGAAAGCGCTGAGTCCTAACCACTGGACTGCCAGGGAATTCCCTTAACACGTTGTTTTTGTTGGTTGCCTTTGTTGTTGTTGTTGTTTGGAAGCACATCGTTCTCTGGGCAGGAAGTCAAATTGACTTTACCAAGCCTAGAAGTCAGTAGCAGAATTCTGTCTGTTTCCTACTCTGTTCACCCTGCCTGCTGCAGATCTCAGCCAGGACTTGTTTCTAGCCAGGCGTGTGCACATGGAAACCCGGACTCAAAAAGGCCACGTGCGTGCCTCAGTACCAGCGCACCGAGCTGAGCGTTTGGGGGCTGGTGCCCGTGTTTGTATGCACAGATTTTCCAGCTGCCCAGACTGGTGTCCAAGGCCCTTTTTGGTCTGACCAGCTTTATTAATTTATTCAGAAAATATTTATCAAGCAGTTGTCGTGTGTGGCACTGGCCTAGGTTCCTGGAAATAGAGCCGTGATCCAAACAGACACATGGGGCTTACATTCTGGAAGGAGTGATCGGGATAGAATACTTGGAGTAATAGATATATAAATACACGTTGGGAAAAGAGCTGTGAGCGAAAGGGAGGAAGCTAGGAGAGTTAGAGCAGCAGGAATAGGTCCGTAGCTGTAGGTGTGTGGCCGGGAAGGTGGCATTTGAGATGAGATTGGATCTGGCGGTAAGTAGGCCTTGACCAGGGGGAAAGGGTGGAGAAGGTGTTGAAGGAGGAGGGAATGTGCAGGTCTCAGGAGATACGACAGGTCTAGGGGGCTCGGTCTTGTCTTGCAGGGTCTTGAGGCCTCACTAGAGATTTTGGTCTTTATCCTGAGCTCAGATGGAAAACAGTCATGGGTTTTAAGCAGCTGACACAATCAGGGCTTTGTTTTTTCAAAGGTCACTCTGGTTGCTGAGTGGGGAATGTTTTGTGGAGGGAGCCAGGGTGGAAGCAGGGAGTCGAGTTAGGAGGCTGGGCCAGTAGTTTAGGCAGGAGATTCGTGATGAGCTGCATGGGGGGACTGGGGAGATGGTTGGGAAGCAAAGTCCACAGGGCTTGGTAATGGTGGGAAGGGCGATGTCAAGGATGCCTTCTAGGGCAGGGGTTCTGTTTAAGAAAGTCACAGTGACTTCACTGCTCCAACTTTCTCTCCACCAACACTTTATCCCAGTAGTGCACAGGTACTGAAAATGTCCTGCCCCTGCTGCTCTAGCTTTGCCTTGGCAGGTCTCTTCTGCTTCCCGTCCCCTCCTGGCCCAGATGCCTTTCCTGTCGCCTCCCCTCCATAAAGGCTCATGCTGAGTCTCGTGGCTGCCCGTGGTCCACATCTCAACCTCGGTACAGACTGCTCTGGCATATAATGGCAATCCCATGTGTATGTAACACTTGACAGTTTATAAAACGCTTTCACATCCATTTATTGCTACATTCCATCATTATCCTGGGAGCTAGGCAACTTTCTAGGAAAACCTTTTGTAGCGGGGGGAACTCAGGCCTGGAGACGGGAAGGACCATGACAAAATCACTTAGAAAGATCAGAGCTGGGATTAGAACTCAAGTCCCTGACTTTTAGCCTAGCACTAGGTTTCATGTTCTTTATTTTCCTGTGTGTGATTCTCACTTCTCTAACATGACTGTACATCTTGTGAGGCCAAGAGCCTGCTCCCCTACTTGAGTGGAGATGGGGCCAGTGGAAGGAGCAGGGGCTCTGGGTTGGCTCTGCCAGTAGGTGGGTCTTTGGCTTCTGAGTCTTGGCTTCTCAGCTGTTCCTACTTCATGGGGCCTTTGTGAGAATTACCTGCCACGGGCTAGGTGCCCTGTCCACCGCACGTCTGCTAAAGGTGCCTTTCTTTACCCCGAAATGCCCAGCACCTGTCACAGGAAAAGCCCCTGCTTTTTCTAAAAAACTATAATTAGAATGGAAAGAGTCAAGAGGAAATGTTGAGGGTTAGAAAGGGTAGTGAGGGTGGTGTTTATAGACAGTTCTGTCTTGTATTGGGTAGAAAGCTGGATTAGACCAGTTTCTGTAAACCTTTCCTCTCCTTAGGCCTTGGTGTCTATCTCATCTGTTGCCCCAGATTCTGTAAAGAGAGAAAGGGCAGAAGGAGAGAACGAATGTTTACTGAGATCCTGCTTTGCCCCAAACCCTGCGCCTGGCACTTGACATGCTTTATTGCAGTTGATTTTACAACAGCTGTTTGAGGCAGCCAGTGTTCCCATTTGAGTGGAAAGAAAACTGAGGCTCAGAGGAGTAGGAAGTCTTGCCCAGGTTGATGACAGAACTGGGACTGGCCTGGTCTGAGCTCGCTCTGCCTTGCTCTGGAGTAAGTATATAGTTTGCCGGCTTTCTATTCTTGTATTTCTCACTTACAGTAAGGGGGCATTAAAAACGAAAGCAGACATATTGTCGGGAGTAAATTTTATCTCTGTGGCTTTAAAACACAAACAAAAACAATAATTCCATCAGTAGGGGAAAATTGCACCATACTGCTGAGTATAAATTTTATTGCTACAGAGATACAAAGATGATAAATGAAAAGTTGGAACATTTGTTATTGGGAATATATTTTATTGGTGTAACTAAAGTGCAGCCAAACTGAATAATACCAGTACTTGTTAAAAATTGTAGTCAGCCCCTCGACGATGTATATGATTCAGACTGCAAAACAGAAATGTTTGATCTGGGCTGATAGGAGGGAGCCGGTGTATTTGCACGTGCTGGGTGGTGGAGGCGGGGGGAGGGGGAGGCAGTCAAGCGGGCCATTTTCTAGAGAAGTCTCTATGAAGCCCAAGGGCTAAAACATTTCTGGTGGTTAGTGGAAATTTGGGACTGGAAAAATCCTGTGTCCAAGGCTCAGGAGGGAAAAGCTTCTAGTACAGAAATCTTCCAGCCATGTATAATGCCTCTTGAGGAGTGGTGGAAGTGATTGTGAATCATTGTGAATTCCAGACAGTACTGATCAGGAAGTGAGCTGAGGGAGTGGCGGCTCAGGACGTTTCATAGCAGTGATCAGGAGGTGACCGTGGTGGTCTTAGTTCTGGCCAGAGAGGATCCATTCTCAGCTCAGATGCCAGCAGAGGCGGTGGAACGAGGCCTCTTACAGCGGCGCAGCAGGGGCCAGTGCTGCGGTGGCCTCGGGGACAACAGGCCAGCAGGCAGCACTCAGATCAGAGAGGAAGGGCACCGCGCTACGGCCACCACATGTGTTAGCACATTAGTTCTAAGAGCTAATCATCTCATTTTTCAAATGAGGAAACTGAGGTGTAAGAGGTAATTTACCCAGAGTCACGCTGAGGACATAATAGAGTCAAAATTTGGAAGCAGATCTGTTCAGCCTCAGAGCCCCTGTTCTTTCTTTCCAATTGTTCACATTGAATTCCATTAAAATGATATCATGACACTGGGGCCTTCTGAAGGCTTATTGGTGAAAGGAGACAAGATATGAATAAAGTCTTTATTTGCAGGCGACTCATGTTCGAGGCAGCAAGGATGGCCCTCTTGACTTTGCATTGTTCTCGGTCAGAAATTCACATGGCCTGTGCATGTGAGTGTCTGATCACGTGGCCCCTGGTTGGGAAAATGTTATATACCCTTAAAGTAGGGCATGGGAGGCTGGTGGTGAATAGACTTATCCTTTTGCAGCTTTTCTGAAAAGCTAGCTTTAGGCGGAGCCGTCTCCTTCATCATTCTGCCTTCTGGAAACCCGCAGTCATTTTAGAAATCTGATGAGACCTGCCTCTGAGTCTGTGTCTCACAAATTCACATCCGGCGCTGTTTTTCGAGAACCAAAATGAAAGGCGTCTGTGGTTGTAGCGCTGTGTCTGGTGTTGGTGGGCCAGCCCCACCATGCTGGTCAAGCAGAGAGAATGTTCCACAATGCCCGGCGATGTGAAGTCTGCCTTTTATGTTGGAGGTGGTGGAGGGCGGGTAACCTCCTCTCCTCAGGCCCTCAGTTGCCGCTCGTGCTTGCCGTTTGAGATGCTGTGTTTGAGATGCTCCTCCCTCCAGTGGCAGAGGACCTTTACCTGCAGGTTTATTTTCGTTGTCTCCAGCTCCTTGCGCACTGGTTTGTCACACCAGCGCCCTGCCTTTCCTGCCGCCGGTGGAGGTGTGCTTTATCGGAAGTTTCGTGGTGGGGAATTTGGCAGTAGCTGTCGAGTGTCTTAAAAACGAGCTTATCCTTTAACCTAGTAATTCCCTTTCTAGGAGTTGACCCTAAGAAAATCACTGGATAGTAGGCGAACTATATGTATATATCATATATATGTGTTTTATTTATTTATTTTTTAAAAAAATTAATTTATTTTTGGCTGCGTTGGGTCTTCGTTGTGGTGTGCGGGCTTCGCATTGCGGTAGCTCCATCTTGTTGCGGAGCACGGGCTCTAGGCGCACGGGCTTCAGTAGTTGTGGCATGCGGGCTCAGCAGTTGTGGCTCGTGGGCTCTAGAGCGTAGTAGGTTCAGTAGTTGTGGCGCATGGGCTTAGCTGCTCTGCGGCACGTGGGATCTTCCCGGACCAGGGCTCGAACCCGTGTCCCTTGCGTTGGCAGGCGGATTCTTAACCACTGCGCCACCAGGGAAGCCCCTATATATGTGTTTTAATTGAGATGTAATTGGCATATAACATTGTGTAAGTTCAAGGTATACTGCACGGTTGACTTGATACATTTATATATTGCATTATCTGTGCTTTTGAATTACAAATCTTAATTTAAAAAAAAAAAAAAGCTCAGCACAGGTCTGTGGGAGAAGTGAACAACAAATATTCTTTGTCTCTTTGGAGCGGTTGGAATCACCATCTGACTCTCACTCTTGTGCATTTTATGCCTTTGCCTCTTTTCGCAGCAAAGCAGTTGAGAGCCTCACTGCAGGGGGTGGCTCTGAAATTCAGCGGGTGAAGGAAGATGCTCAGAAGAAGGTGCGGCAGGTCGAAGAGCTCCTAACCAAGAGAATACTCCTTTTAGAAGAGGCAAGTCCGGACTTCCCTGGCCGTCCAGTGGTTAAGACTCTGTGCTTCCACTGCAGGGGGTGTGGGTTTGATCCCTGGTCGGGGAACCAGATCCCGCATGCTGCGTGGTGCGGCCAAAAAAAAAAGAGAGGCAAGTCTGAAAGCCCTGAGGAGAATGTGTTTCCTACAGCGGGTTCGTAACCGAGTGGGCAGAATTTTGTTCCTCTTGTCATAAACTGTCAGGGTTTCAGCAGGGAGAAGAGCCCCCCCTTGCTGAGCACCTCTTGCGCTCCAACCCCGGTCTAGGCACTTTGCGTATGGAATTTATACCCTTACACCCTGCGCGCTGGCCTTTATCGTCTCCATCCTCTAGATGAGGACACGGAAGTACAGAGAGAAATACTAACTAGTCCACGTTTAGTCCCGGATTTAAGTTACAACAGCTGCTTTTACAGCCTGTGTCCTGACTGCAACACCACCCTTCTTTTTATCTAGTTTAGTTCCTTTACTTTAGAGAAGAGGGAGCTGAGGCCTGAGGCCCAGAGAGGGGAGGCGACCCGCCTAACACAGCTAAGCCTGGAGCCAGGTTTCCTGACTCGTAGGCCATGCGTGGCCACGCAGCCCCTGTCCCCAGAGCCCAGTCTCCATCCCTCCATCCCACCTGTGCCAACTGCCTGCTTCCTCTCGGGGAGCCGCTGTGTGTAGCTCTTCTTTCCCCCCATTCTCAGCCTGTGGTGGGAATCAGGATGCTCCTTGGCCAAACAACTTTATCTCCTAGATGTTGAAAAGCTTTCCTCCATATTAAGCTCGTCATCGAGTGATACCAGTTCCTTTTAATTCTTGATCTTTGAAGTCTGTTGTTTCTCTACCCAAAACCCTGATTCTTCTTGGCAGATAAGAGGAGAAATGACACCACAAAGCACTTCCAGATACAAAGAGCAGATTCATTTGTACTGTATTTTACAGCTTATAGTGGTCTTTTCCATTTGTCATGTTCACATCGGCCCCCTGGGGGTGTGTAGCTCCTAGGTCCAAACTACAGACGAGACCGGCTCAGGGAGCTGGGAAACTTAGTCTTGGTCATAAGTAGTAGAGCTGAAACCAAAAGGAGGGTCTGCTGAGCCCGAATTCTGAACTTTAGTTAAAATGTAATTCTGAGACTTCTAAGAGACTTAATCTGTTGGTTCAGTCATCTTATTTTTCCCAGTAAGTGCTTCCCCAGGTTTTAGGGTAGCAGCGTGACTGACAGTACCGGGCTGAATCCCTGCTCTATCACTAGCTTTTCACCTTGGAGAAGACATTTGCCTTCTCTGAGCCTCTGCTGCTTCATCTGTGAAATGAGGCCAGTGGTGTCTGCCCTGCAAGGGTAACTGTAGTACCTGCAGTGAACTAACGATTTATGGAGGGCTCACCATGTCTGAGGCACCCTCCTCAGCCTTTTCATACACTGACTTAGTTTATCCCTTCAGTAAACGTATGAGGTAAATGCTTTGACTATCCCTTTTTAAGAACAAAACCAAAAACATGATGACACAGGCACAGAGTGGCCAAGTCACTTGGCGCAAGGTCACCCAGGTAGTAAATGCCAGGTGGTCTGGCTGTAGAGCCTGCATTCTGGGCTGGTCTAGTCTCTCTGTCAGTATGTAACTTTCTAGGATTGAGTGAGGATCAGAGATAGTATAAGTAAAGCTCCTTGCTCAAAGCACCGTGGAGGGAAGGGCAGGGAAGAGGAAGCCAGCGTATTTTGAGCTTCCTGTGACGCAGCAGGCATTTGACAGTCTCCCAGCAACTCTTTGAGACGGTGGTTATCCCTGTTTTATAGGTTGGGAAACGGGCTCAGAGAGGTTAAGGGACTACTCAAGGTCACCCAGCAAGTAAGTGGTGGGAGAGCTGGGTTTTGAATCCAGTTCGATTTGCCTTTCATCTTTGTGATGCAGTCAGAGGCAGCGGTGTGAGGGCTTGGAGACTCACATCTGCTATTCGGTCCCTTTCCTGAGCACCAGGACCTTTTTCCCCAACACAGACGCTGCCTGCGTGATTTAGGCAATTTCCTTTTTGGCTTCTCTGAGCTCTCAGGAAGAACATAAGAGTTTTTTACCACCTAAATCACCTTGGAGATACAGAAAATGCACTTTAGAGTTGTGTAGTCATTATCTTAAAAATAGTGAGGGGGCAGTGGGGTGTGGGAAGAATTTGTATGGAGATTATGGTGACTCCTAGGAATTTATGTATGTTTAGGTATCGAGAGGCACATTTCTCCTCGTTCTCATTGAAACTGTAAACATTGATCGGATTTTTCAAAACCCAAAATACGGTTCTTGTAGAGTCTTTTCCATTGGAAATGCCTATTACTCTTCAGGATACAAGAGGGGAAAAGTAGCTGGTGAATGTGTTTATTACTGATTCTCCCCATGTGTAGTACAATTCAGAGAGGGGAAATGTGCTGGAGAAAAAGTCATAAATATTTATATTTTAATCCAGTTTCCTTTCAAAGTGTTCCCAATTGTATTGAAAAATTGCATCAAATGCGTTTATTTTAACTCTAGGATGCGAAAGTCACCCAAGCAGAGCTGGAAAAGGCCTTTGCTGGAACAGAAACAGAGAAGGCTCTTCGGTTAAGCTTGGAAAACAAGCTTTCAGAGATGAAGAAGATGCACGAGGGGGATCTGGAGACGGCTCTGGTCCTGGAAGAGAAGGACAGGTCTGGCTCTTACCCCTGTGATGCTCTGACATCCATTTATCTGGCAGCATGATCCAAAAAAAACAGAAAGAGTTCTTGCCTTCCTACCCTTTTCCCCTTCTTTTTCTACTTGTTCCCCGTAGTGAGAAAACTAGGGATAAAATCAGGGTGAAAGGGAAAGGAATAGGGTAGTGATATGAGGACAGAGATAGAATTAGTAGACAGAAGTTCATGCTGAAAAGTTCTACTCAGATACTAAATTTAGCATTCAGGTTTTGGCTATAAGCTTCCTGGTAGCCAAAGGAAAAAGGGAAAAACAATTTTGGTGGACATAAGATTCACATTGCTCACAAGACAAAACAAGCTAGTAACTCAGGAGAAGCCCAGTTTTACTTGTCATTGTCAGAGAGACATTTCTCTTGTAGATTTTCCCAAAGGGAGTAGTAAGTGACTCCATCCCCACAGTAAAATACTAGTGAATTTTTTGTGACCGTTTTCCATCATGTCTTTTAATGCAGGCTGAGGGCCCAGATTAGTACAGTGCGAGGGACCAAAACAATGTAGACCAAGTACAGAGCTCTTCAATGGTCCAGAAATAAAACATGTGCCGTTTGGTCCAGAGAAGTGCGTGGGCCATACGGCTTTTCAGCAATCTTAAATGCCCTTTATGTCTTGCAACCAAACTTTGAATCAAAACTGGTCAGGAGAGGGTGGAGGTTTTATTCTTTACCGTTTTTGCATTTTGATACTCTTGCCTTGCTTTGGTGGTTACTAAGTGGAAGGTTGAGTCAACTAAACAAAAGTGAGACTTCCGGCTAACCTCTGGCCCATCCATTGAAGAGCCAAACTAGTTAGGAAGTCGACAGAAATTGTTCTAAAGTGCGATCAAGGAACTGGAAGAGTACAGCCTGGCCCAGTGTCGTGGTCTGGAACGGGGGCGGGGCGATAGGAGGAGCTGGGGAGAGGGAAGCTGGGGCAGGTCCTGTGGGCCTTTTGGTAGAGTTTGGGTTTTGCCCTCAGGGCATGTGAGGAGCCACTGAAGAGCTAAGGATGGGGGTGGGGGGAATGACAGGATCAGATGTAAATTTCGAGCCATCCCTCTGGCTGCCCCCTGGAGGATGGATTGGCAGGGGGATGATGCTGAAGTTCAGATACGAGGTGATGGTGGCGAGGACCGAGGACCGAGGTGACAGAGCTCGGGTTGGGGGAAGAGCAGGCAGAGACACTGGGAAGGTTGGATTGGCGTGATGGCTTGAAGGGCTTGATGGCTGCTGGACCTGTGGATGAGGGAAGAGGCCGCAGAGGTCCCCCCGACCCAGGTCCTGAGCGTGAGCAACCGTGGGATGGGAGGGCAGTTTGCCGAGTTTGTGGGAAAAGGGGAGAAAGAGGAGATGTTTTGGGGTGCAGGAGGTGGGAAGATGAGCTTTCAGTTGGGACGCATTGGGTTGAGGGATTGCAGGCACCAAGAGGAGAGTCCAGGAGATGCTGGGCCTGTGGAGTGAGGCCTGAATTAAAGGAGATGCAGGTTCATTCCTTCCCCAGCTGCTGAGCCTAGCCTCGGGCTGGGTGCCAGGAATGCAGGGGTGAACACTGTCTTCCTTATATGGAGCTCCCATGTGGGGGAGGAAACACGCGTTAAAAACAGAAAGTCACGATTGGTGCTGGAGGTAAGTTCCAGGTCTGGGCTGTGACAAAAGCCGGGGAGTGATCAGCTCTGCCTGGGTGTGGGGCAGGGAGAGCTTAGGAGAGGAGAGCTCTGGGCTTGGGGTGAGGCACCCTCACAGGTGGGACGCGTGGCACGGTTTAGAGCAGCCTCGGTCCCTGTTAGCGTACGCTGGAGAAGCTTGGTTGCCCATCGTTTTGGCAGACGGAGCCCTTTTGGGGAAGGGTTAATGCTTGCTGAGTACTGACTGTGGTCCGGGCAGTGGGGTCTCCATGGGCGTGGGTGATCAGGTCGGGGCCTCCCTAAGGCTGCCTGCTCCTGGGGTCTCCTACCGGTCCGGCTGGGGAGGCACCGAAACGTGACGTGTCAGTCCTGCAAGTGCACCCGTCTCTCAGGGATAGAGGTGCCTCAGGCACGCTCCCGGCAGCCAGCTCTGGGTTTCTGCCTGCTCGCTTGGGTGTGGCCCTCTGTGGTGGAACTCTTCTGGGCCTAGGATCAGTGTGTTCCGTCCCTGAAGGCAGGCCTGCCCAGGAAGCTAAATTGAGGTCAGAGGTGTGAGTGAATTGGATGGAGCAGGGGCCCTTCGTCACGCCCCGGTGAGCTGGATCCAGGTCTGCCGCGTGACTGACCACCACCGCTGAGCAGGGCCCTCACCAGGACGGACGCTGCCCGTGTCCTGGCCTCCCGCCGGCCTTTTCAAAGGTACATGCTTTAGCTCCTTGATTTCCTTCAACTGGACCTTACAGCTAGTCCGTATCTCTAAGACAGTCAGCCTTGAGGAGCCCTGCAGGTCAGTATGGCCAACAGACATATTTTATTTGACCCAAACAGTACTTTGAAAAGATGGAATTCGTTGCCGATGTTAAAAAAAAAAAACAAACACCTAATTTCACGTGAAAGTCTAGATTTCCAGCTTCTCTTGAAAACCCGGAAGGCGTGGCAGGACTGGGCCAGGGTCTTGCTGGACTGAGGCTGCTCTCTTAGGCGGGCTGGGGCACTAGGCTGGCGACAGTCCCCACAGGCCTTCCCTGCTCATTTCCATCCCTGTCTAGAACTTGCTTTAAGGTCACTAAAGCAAATCAATTTCATCGAAGTGTAAGTTGCACGCAGCAGGACACATCCATTTTAAGCGTGTACTTTGGTGACTTTTTACCTCTCCAGTTGACCGTGTGATGATTTCAAAGTTGAACCCCTAGAGGGCAGTCTTACTCCTCCGAGTTCTGCGGGGCACCGCGCTGGTGCTGCCCGGTTCCCTCTGTACCCAATTATTTTAGTCCTTTTGGGGCGCCATAACAAAATACCACAGATTGGGTAGCTTACAAACAATAGAAGCTTATTTCTTACAGTTCTGGAGGCCGAAAGTCCGAGATCAGGGCGCCAGCATGGTTGGGCGACGGCCCTCTTCCGGGTCGCAGACTTCTTACTGTGTCCCCACCTGGTGGAAGGGTGGGGGATCTTTCTGGAGTTCCATCTGTGCTGCCATTCATGCGAGTTCCACCCTCAGGATCTTATCTCCTCCCGAAGGCCCCACCTCCTAATCCTGTCACCTTTGGGGGTCAGGATTTCAGTATAGGAATTTTGGGTGGACACAAATTTTCAGATACTCAAATACGCATTGCTAGGCGCTTTAACTGCTTTTAGCTCACTCCTCCCCTTCGCCCTGGGAGCTCGGGAAGCTCTCTCAGACTTCCAAGCCTTTGCTCTTTCTACCCTACTGAGTTGCTTTCTAGGCTTAGCTGGAGAGACTCTTCTGAGAGTCCTTTGACAAAATGCTAATTGCTCAGTGTTTTAAAAAAAAATAATTATAGCCATATAGCCATTGTTATTTGTTGAGTTCTGCCATGTGCCTGGAGTTGTGCAGCATTTTAAATAGCTTATCTCCATTCCACATAAGCAAGTTATGGCCGCTTTATAGCCGAGGCAGTGCAGGCTCAGAGAGGTTAAATGACTTGGCCGTGGTCAGGGGTAATTCGGGGGCCCGGAGAAGGGTGTGCTCAGCTCTTCCTGAGGAGGGCCTCTGGGGTCTTGAGGGGATGTAACGCCTCACTGGCGGTGGCGGGATGAATGGGTGTTTATCAGGTGGGTGCAGGAGCAGAGGTGTGAAGGGCATTCTGGGTAGAGGGAGTGGTGTGCTCAGGGCAGCCCAGCTCCCAGACAGGCTTGGGAGGGAGGCCCTGAGAGCCAATGAAGAGGGTGTCCGTTTCCTGTGAGAGGCACGACGGACGCCGTCAGCAGCACCTCTGATCTACTAGGCCCTAAGAGACAGGGCCGCGATCGCCTTGCTGAGGAGTTTGGCCTTTATTTTGGAAGCCAGTCTGTTTTAGACTTGGCCCTGGGAAGCCTTGGCGAGACGCCCTCTGGTTTTCACGCTCACTGGAACCATTCTGCTTTACTGGTCATGTTTGTTGAGTCTCACTGACAGATTCCTTAGGGAGAGATTTCTTGCCCCTCCCCACCCCCCGCCCCCCAAATTCATAATCCACTGCTGTCGATGGTGGGGGCCAATGAAAGTCTTTGAGCGGGAGTGTGACTTGATCAGACCGTAGGCTGGCAGCTCAGAGGATGGATTGACCAGGGCCGGGCTGGAGGCGAATGCTGGCCCCAAATCTCCCACCTGCAAAATGTGGTTCCGTTTATGTTCGATCGTTGGACGCGTCTACTTTGAAGATGTCTGGCCCTGTTACCTACCTCCTCCTGCTACACTGAGCTAAGAGAACAGCTTAGAATTAATATTTAAATTTTGTTCTCTTTCAGACTGATTGAGGAGTTGAAGCTGTCTTTGAAGAGCAAAGAAGCTTTAATTCAGTGCCTGAAAGAGGAGAAATCTCGGATGGCATCTCCAGATGAAAACGTGTCATCTGGAGAGCTCCGAGGACTTCCTGCTGCTCTGAGGGGAGATGAGGAGAGAGGGACCGAGGTGAGGTGACGGGACATGGCGGGGGACTTTAATTAGCAGACCTGATCTCCCTGTGGGAAGTGGATGCACATTCAGTCCCCAGGGTTCGCACACAGTGGCCTTCAAAATATTAGCTCCCTGTTGTCTGCTGAGGAATTACCAGAAAGCTCCTTTGTCAGGGGCCCTGGCATTTCTTTTATCCTTCCAGTCTCGTGTTCATGTAGAGTCGGTTGAAAAAAAACAGTCCAGGGACTTCCCTGGTGGTCCAGTGGTAAAGAATCAGCCTTCCGATGCAGGGGATACGGGTTTGATCCCTGGTCAGGGAACTAAGATCCCACATGCCTTGGGGCAAATAAACCCGCAACTACTGAGCTTGCGCGCCTCAACTAGAGAGCCCGCGTGCCACAAACTAGGGAGCCCACACGCCCTGGAGCCTATGTGCCACAACTTGGGAAGAGAAAAACCCGCACGCCACAACTAGAGAGAAGCCCGTGCGCCACAATGAAAAGCCTGCGTGCCACAACTAAGACCCTATGCAGCCACGCAGCCAAAAAAAAGAAAACAAAACCTTTAAAACAAACAAAATAGTCCACACCTGCACGCCTCTGTTTTCCCATGGGTTAATTTGTCGATGCCCGGGGACTTTATTTGCACCCACTGGGTTTGGTTTGTCTCTGTGGTTAGAGGCAGACTTGAGGCCACCTTCGGTTGGAAACTTCAGAAGCAGCGGGGAAGGGAAATAACTTGTATCGGGCCTGGCAGCACTCGAAGGGTGTCAGCGTGCACCTCAATTAATCCTGGCACCTTGCAAGGCAGAGATCACGGTCCCCTCGTCGGGTAGAGAAACATGCTCAGACGCGTCGTGATATTTTCCCAGGCTCCAAGTGGTGGGTCGCTGGTAGAGACCCCAAAGCCCTCCTGGACCCCTGCCCCCCCTCCCCCAGGCCACCTCCATGCCCAGCTGTTTTGAAGTGGGTGGGCAGGCCTGGAGGTGCAGGCAGGCCTGGTAGCGGCTTTCTGGTCCTGGTTGGACCTAGGGTGGCTGCCATGTGTGGTCCCTAAACGCCAGGGGACGTCTCAGCGCTCATGGACTGTCTCAGTCGCTTTGTGGAGCAGGGTCTCCTTTGTCCCGACCACAGCAGCGAAGCCTCCGGCCCCCCCGGCTAGTTGTTGGCTGTGATTAGCCCACGTCTGCTCCTCCTTCCGGCCCTTCTCGCCCCGCGGGTGCTGTGCTTCAGTGGCTTTTGCGCCGTCCCGTAGCTCTTTGGTTCACGCTCCATGGGGCTGGTGGTCAGCCCGTGCGGGTTACTTGTCTTTACCTTTTCTTAACTCGGGTGCATTTCCGGGGAGACAGAAGGAGTGGATGATTGTTTTCATGAGCTCCTCAGCAGTGGGGTGGGGAATAGAAAGTAAATGCAGTGCTCATTCTAACCGTTCTGGGGAGGCTGCTGGATTGCGGATCCCTTCCGAGCACCAATGAATGCCTTTTCTTAGGCTGCACAAATGGAGGAGGAGAAGGAGAGAAATCGCTTTGAAGAGAGGATCCAGGTATGTTGACACAATTTTTACAGACGTATTGAGGATTTATCCCTGCCTCTTGCTTTCTTCTGAGTGCAACAGATAATCCTGTGTGACAGTAGCTGTCACTCGTTGAGTCAAGCTCTAGGTGTGTCAGAGAGGAGGATTTCGTAGCCTTCACGATAACTCTGGAGTAGGCGTTCCCATTTTGCAGATGTAACACATGGGGCTCAGAGAGGTGAGGCTCCGTCCCCAGGGTCACAGAGTTGGAAGAGGTGTAGCAAGGATTCAGACCTGCCAGGCCAATCGCAGAGCCACTGCTGCAGGGTCCCCTAGTCACAGCGGCCGCCATTTGTGTAGCGCCTGCCAGCGTAGAAAGTGCTTTCACGTCCATTATCTCATTTGATTCTCACAACAGCCCGGGAGGGAGGCAGCGGTGAATATCTTTAGAAATGAACTCAGACTATAAATGTATATATTCGGTCTCCATCAAACCAAATTCTCTGCTGGCTTTTGTAGCATTAAGGAGTGAAATTAATGATCTGTCATTTCCCCCAAATAACCTGCTACGGTTTCAAAGGCTCTGCTGTGACTGTATTCAGATTCCAGAAGGCATTGGAGTCCTTTCCACGGGAGTAGCTGTCATCGTCTTAACTGATCTGATCCCCTTCCTACACCCAGCCCTGTTGCCGCGAGTGGTAAAGCAGTAACTTGGAGCTGATGCCACGATTCTCAGCTCTACTTGGAAACATTAATCACAGGTTGACAGGAATGATAGAATAACTGCGTTTGAGTGTGCTCTTAAAGTTATATTTACAGTGCATTTTGGTTAAAATGCATCAACTTAGTGAATCTTTTTCTAATCTAATTTAGGCACTTCAGAAGGACCTGAGAGAGAAGGAAAGAGAAATTGCTACGGAAAAGAAAAATAGTTTAAAGAGGGATAAAGCCATTCAGGGTCTAACCATGGCACTAAAGTCGAAGGAAAAAGAGGTATGTCTGATACACCTGAAGTGAGACTTTTCTCTATTAGCTTCTGTGACAGGCCTGTCTTACCCTGAATTTTTAGCTTTAGGTAAAAAGTTTATAAGAGAGGGAGGGAGGGAGACGCAAGAGGGAAGACATATGGGAACATATGTATAACTGATTGACTTTGTTATAAAGCAGAAACTAACACACCATTGTAAAGCAATCATACCCCAATAAAGATGTTAAAAAAATAAATAAATAAATGAAACTCAAAAAAAAAAAAAAGTTTATAAGAGAGCTGAGATGAATATAGAAAGTGGGGAAAGGGTCCTGTAGTCAATTAGAAGTTCTTTTGTAGAGTAATTCAGTGCTGTCCGCATGACTATAATGCGAGTTATGTATGTAATTTAAAATTTTCTAGTAGCCACATTAAAAGAAGTAAAAAGAAACAAGTGAAATTAACTTTAAAATACATACATGCCAGATGTCAACATGTAATCAATAAAAGAAAAATAGCAATGAGGTATTTAACATTTTTAAACTCTGACTTTTGTCACCATATTGGACAGCGTGGGTCTGATCTTTTGAAAGACAACAGAAAATTGAGATAAAGGCGTTTTGGGAGGCAAGGCCATGACTGCGACATCTCACCTGGGTGGTCTGCAGGCTCCTCAGATCCGGCACTTTCTCAACAGACCCATCACCTCCATCGCCGCCCCCATCTCACCATCCTACTCCATTTTCTCTGCCCTTGCCTGCGTTGGTGACACTACCGTATCCCTAGTCGTGCCAGCCAGAAGTCGCCCTTGCCTTCCGCTTGTTGCCTTTGGGATCCAAGGTGGTGGCTCATGGTTCTTTGCGGTTCTCCTGTCACGAGTATAGCCATCAGTTATGTCTCAGTAACTCCTCGGCACAGATACAGAGAAGAAAACACAGCTCTGCTTGCCAGTCTAGTGGGGAAAAAAGACAGCATGAAGGTGTTGTGATTGAGGGAAGTGCAGGGGGCTGTGGAAGCAGAGGGAAGGGGGCCTGGTCCAGGTTAGGGTGTGGATGCGGGGAGCGGGGAGCGGGGAGCGCTTCTTCCTGGAGGAGGTGTCTGAGCTGAATCTTAAAGGAGGACCAGGAATTAGCTGGGAAGTGAGGCGGAGACGGGGAGGCCATTTCGCGCAGAGGGGAGAATGCTGGTCAGAGCCTTACGTTAGGAAAGAGCCCCTTGTGTGTTTGTGGAAACAGAACGGTTTGAGGTTCTCAGAGCATCAAGCGCAGAGCTGAAGTGAGGCGAGAGAAGAAGCTGGAGGCGTTGCAAGGGGCAGCGGAGGTGGTGGAACTCAGAGGGTAGCAAGGCCACTGAAGGCTCCGAGCGGAGGGGTGTGGTCACGTTTGCATCCCAGAGCAGCCTGTGGCTGTACTGGGGAAGGGAACGGCAGAAGGGCGAGAACGGAGGCAGGGAGGCCAGTAGCTGAGGTGAGAGCCCCCTAGTTCAGAAAGGCTGAATTAGAGCAGCGGTCACAGTAAGTAGGAGTGGAGGGGTGGGGCGTATTCAAGAAATACAACTAGAAATAATTAAAAATTAGAAGTGAATTTGGGGAACTTTGATGATTAGACGTAGGACTCGGGAGAAGGAGCAGTCAAGGGTGACTTCTGGCTGCGTGACTGGGGATATGGTGTGCCACCACCTCCCTTAAAAGCATAGACGATGGAGGATCATGGTGAGGTGGGGGCGGCGATGGAGGTGATGAGCCTGTTCAGAAGGTACCGACTTTGAGAAGCCCATGGACCGTTCAGGTGAGAAGTCCAGGAGGCAGATGGATCCGCGAGTCTAAAGCTTGGAGAAGGCCCAGGCCTGGAGGTATAGGTCTGGGAGTCAGTCGTATACAGATACGAGTGAAAAATCTGAGAGTTGATCTACTCATCCAAGGATAGCGTGGGGTGGGAAAGGAGGCTGAGCATCGGGCCGCAGGGGACAGCAAATTTCGGGAACAGGGAGAGGAATGCACAAAGGGGGCAGGAGGAATGGCTGCAGGAGTGGGACGCCGACCAGGAAACCGGGGTTGAAGAAGCCGAGGAGGTAGGAGTTTGAGTAACCACCAGTGTCAGCCGCAGCGGAGGTTTGGTTCATAATCACGGTCAGTGTGATTTGTCTCGGGTGTTGGGAGTTCAGGGCCCAGTGGTCGTCGGAGACCCTCTGCTGTGCAGGGCACCGGTGGTAGGGCAGTTCTGGCTGCTGGCAGAGTTCAGGGTGTGGCCAGGGGAGTTCCTCGCTGACTCTGGGCCAGAGGAGAAGGTCACTGGAGGGTGAGGAGTTCTGGGAAGAGCCAGGCTCGGTGGTTGGGTGGGTCATCTCTGTGGACAATAATAGTAACTCTTAGCGTGAGCCGGGCATTACTTGAGCGCCCGTACCTATTAACGTTGTTCAAGCCTCACAGTGCTGTGGTTGGGTGAGTGGTCGTATCTTCGTTCTATAGTTGAGGGAATTAAGTCTCAAAGAGATGAAGCGCCTGGCCTGAAGTCATCCAGCTAGTAGACAGGCAAACTAGAAATCCCGCTTTTCTGACTACAGAGCCCTCGGTTACAAGCCCTTCCCAGTCCAGCAGGAAAAGCTTCTGGGCTGAGCACAGAGGGGAGCCCAGTGCATACTTGGCTGCTCTTCCTTGTTTTTACCCAGATTGAAGAACTTAACTCTGAAATTGAAGAGCTCAATGCCGCCTTTGCTAAAGCCCGAGAGGCCCCCCAGAAAGCACAGACCCAGACATTCCAGGTAAGTGTTGGCTTTGTTTGAAGTGGCTCTCTCCATGATCCTTCCTCCTGGTGATGTCAGGGCTTTGCAGCTGAAAGGAACCAAGGGAGCTCTGAGTGGTCTTTTTAAAAATTAATTAATTAATTTATTTTGGGCTGCGTTGGGTCTTCGTTGCTGTGCGCGGGCTCTCTCTAGTTGCGGCGAGCGGGGGCTACTCTTCGTTGCGGTGCGCGGGCTTCTCATGGCGGTGGCTTCTCTTGTTGCGGAGCACCGGCTCGAGGCGCGCGAGCTTCAGTAGTTGTGGCACGCAGGCTCAGTAGTTGTGGCGCACGGGTTTAGTTGCTCCGAGGCGTGTGGGATCTTTCTGGACCAGGGCTCGAACCCGTGTCCCCTGAATCGGCAGGCGGATTCTTAACCACTGCGCCACCAGGGAAGTCCTCTGAGTGGTCTTTAGTAGAAGAGTTCACTCAGTCTAATTAAAGGAGCGTCTTCTGCAGCTTTGGGTGCTTCTCCAGCCCCTTCCTCAATATGACAGTGAAGATGGTGACCACTACGCCCACAGTTAGGAGTGCTGAGCTTAGGCTGTGCCAGGAGTAGACCGTGCGAGATGTGTGGATTATCTCATTTAATCTTCACCACCCTGTGGGGAAGGTAATTTTCACCCCCCTTGTATTTGAGGGCTTTGTGAAGTTCAGTGAGGGTATACAGCTTATTCACGGTCACACAGCTTTGCAAATGACAGGACCAGGGTCTAAATGTGGTAATTGCTGCTAATAAAAGCTGCCGTTTATTGAACATGTACTATGTGTCAAGCCCTGTGCCAGGTGTTCTCCGTGGATTAGCTCAATAAATCTGTACAGCAGCGCCACGAAGTAGGCACTGTTAATATCCTTGTTTACTGCTGAGGAAATCCAGGTTCAGAGATTCAAGTAGCTTGCTCAGGGTCACAGAAGCGGTAAGCGAAAGAGCTAGGATTTGACCCCTGAATCAGTCTCGCTCCCAAGCCTGTGCTTTTCCCTTCACCCCCTATGTCTCCTCACCTGGCTTGCCTGCTCCCTGCCAGCTTTCTGTTCCAGGCTTTGGTTATTTGACCCGCCTTTTGTTTTCCCTCCAGCGTTGCACAGCAAGGGCTCCTGCGGGTCATCCCCTCAATCTTCCCTCTTTCTTGCTAATTTTAGTTCAGTGGGTTTTTTTTTTTGCGGTACGCGGGCCTCTCACTGTTGTGGCCTCTCCCGTTGCGGAGCACAGGCTCCGGACGCGCAGGCTCAGCGTCCATGGCTCACGGGCCCAGCCGCTCCACGGCGTGTGGGATCTTCCTGGACCGGGGCACGAACCTGCGTCCCCTGCATCGGCAGGCGGACTCTCAACCACTGCGCCACCAGGGAAGCCCAAGTTCAGTGTTTTGAATTAACATTTTCTTCCCATGTTTCTAGTTTCCCTCTACAGTGTATACCTGTTACTAATAACTAATGAATCAGTAATGCTCCATCGTGGGATTAAGCCCATACTGCCTTAAAGCTCCACCCTCCCACTTCTCCCTCCCATGTTGTTTTTGGTTATAAAGTAGAAGTTAGGAGTTAAATCTAATTTAAGACTGTTTGGTTCTTCAGATTCATATCCCATGCCTTATCTTTTCAGAGCTTTGGTTCACAGTAAGAGTAATTGAAGTAATTTGGTTTAAGTCCGGGTGCACTAGAAGCAGAGACAAATCTCTGTCTTTGGACTTGCAGACTTGCCTTCCCCACCATTTTGACAGTGGTTGATGAAATGGAGCTGAAATTACACTTTACACTGAGTTTTTTTCCCTTGCTTAGAAAATAACAAGGCTTAAAAGCTGAATTCTTAGCAAAACCAATTCCTTGAGAAGAAAAAGTGTATGTTGGCAATTGGTAAGCAGAGACCAGACATCCTTACGTCTTGTGATATTTTACTTGTTGGGCCTTGAAGGAAGGAAAAGAGTCTTACACGTTTACGTGTTACCCAGACTTACTACATCCATTGACTAATTTCATAACCCTCAGTCCTCGTCTAAAAGTGATCTTTGAGGTCTTGTAGTTTACAGTGTTGGCCGGGTTTCTCATCTTGCAAGGTATGGAGATCAGACACTGTTGAAATTCCTCAGGTTCTGCATGGCACGTTGGCTGTTCAGAGAGCACTCATTTAATCCTCACCCACGGAGGCAGAGTGCTCACCCGTTTGACAGGTTGCCAGTACTTGAACTCAAAGTCTGACTCCAAAGTCTCTGCTCCTTCCATTTTTCTGATTATGTGTGTGAGTCAATACACACCAGACCCTTATATCGGCTAATTCACTGCGAGGTGTGTATAATTTGAATGTTGCACAGACATTTGAAAATGCATTGTCTTTCACATTTTGGGCCCTTTTTGGGATGTCAAATGATTTGAACTAATTGCAGCATGAGTATAAGAGCTAAAGCTCACAGGGGTGGCATCAAGCGTGACAGTGACAAGTGGTATTCAGACTCTTGGAGCAGTTGCCACAGTGCAGAGAGGTAGATTCTCATCACAGGTGTGACTCTGCGAAGGTTGCGGTGTGGCCTGGCTGTGCTACCTCTGAAGCCATTTAAACAATGTATTTTCAAATTGGAAGTAGTGGTTATGTCTCCTCCCCTCCCTGCTCGGCTTTATAAAAGTAAAACTGCACGTTGCAGGAAACTCATAGAATATTTACAATGGTGGAAAGAGGTTGATAAATGTCACCAGTAAACTCACGTCTAAAGATGTTCACTGTTAGCACCTTGACTCTTTTCAAAGCGTATTTGTACATATATATATATCACCTTTGAAAAATTAAATAGCATTATAATATGTATTTTGTTATGTAATCTCTTCTGTTTTCATTTAACATTTTTTCCCTGGCAGTATATATAGATCTAACCAATCTTTAAAAAAATATATTTTGAGATAATTGTAGTTTCACATGCAGTAGACTTCTGTATACTCTTTACCTAGTTCTCCCAAAGTTAGCATCTCATGTGACGTAGGACAGTGTCACAACCAGGATATTGGTGCAATCTGTTGGCCTTACTCAGATTTCAGAGTTTGACCTGCAGTCATTTGTGTGTGTGTGTGTGTGTGTGTGTGTGTGTGTGTGTGTGTTGTGTGCTTTTTATACAGTCTTTTTAAACAGCTGCATATAGTCCATTATATGTGTGTATCATATTATTTTTACCCTGAAGAACCTGGGGTGGGACACGAATTTGAATCCTAACTCTGCTTCACTAACTTGTATCATCTTGGGCAAGATATTTGCGCTCTCCCAGTCTGCTTGCGCATTGTAACATCTGGGTGGTCACATTTACGTCACATAATCCTTACAAGGATTAAATAAGAACATGTATCTGGGCACAGGTGGTAACTCAGTAAATGTTAGCTCATCCTTAAGTTGGGTGATGTAGTTCTGGCATGACAATATAGTAGTTTTTACTTCGGTCTATTTTCAGATTCTCAGTTAATGGTGTTATACACGTAGCTTTTAGTTTGAGGAAACTCTCCATATTATCTCTTGCTTGGGAATGAAAGGTAATGGAGTAAGTGATGGAAAAGGGAACCTAGATTTACTTATCCTGCACCTGCTGAAATGGGACTTTTTGTGTCAGATTTTACCTTCACAACAACCCTGTGAAGTAGAGATCGTTCTCACACATGCGGAAACAGAACTTCAGAGAAGTTAACTTCTCCCAAGTCACACAGCTAGAACTGGTCTTTGAACTCTGGGCCTTCTGACTCTTTCTTTATTGGACTCATCATGTTTCTGTACTGTGGGGAAGAACAATTTGTTTCATATTATTTGGGCTTTAGTTTCTTTTTTAGGGGGTGGGTAGGGGGTGCTTTAGCTTCTGACCATGTCTGACTGGGTCAGGTATTTGCCACCTGATTTATAAGCACCTGACTGGTGTTATAGAATCTGAAAGTCAGGGTGTCTTGCAGGAAAAGGTAAAAAAAATTCTCCAAAGAAGTTTTCCAGAGGGCCCTCTCAGGGAAAATTAACATGGAAAGTATTTTTATGAAGTGAATCGAATGTATGAATTTGAATTCTTCGAGCTCCGATTTTTCAAGAGGCTTTGTTATCGTGATTTACATGATAATCCCACAGAACTTTGATCGCTTGATAACATCTATTATTTTAGTATCAACCATTGCTATCCTTTGTTTCACAAGCTCCTAACTGGTGTTCTCCCCTTGAATTCAGTCTGCTTGTTTTAATTTTTTGTAGTTTATTGGTGTTAACTGGAATCTGCCCAGGAATGGGCAAGACAGAATAGTGCTCTGGGAAGAACACAGGCTCTGGAGTCGTTTGAATCCCGGATTTAATCACTTACCGTCTGATGACAGGCTAGTCATTTAACAGTTTTGAGCCTCAGTTACTTAAATAGGGATAATAATGTGTACTTTGTAGGGTCCTGTGAGAGACTGAGATACAATACGTGTAAAAGTGCCTGGTTTAACCCCGCATACATAATCAGTGCTTAATAAAAGGTAACTACGAAAATTGTTCAAGGTGAGCGTTTTCCCAAATCATTGTTTATCTTCTTTTCTCTTTTTGAGTTTATTTAAATAAGCACTGCCCCAGATACATTTTTTGGGTGGGCCCGTGACCTAGGTTTCCCATTTCTTTTTATTTATTTTAATTTTAAAGGAAACTAAAACAGAAGCTTCTAATAAAACCTACTTTGGAATTTGAATGGCTTTCTCCCTCAGCCTCTGTTGCTGTGTCCTAGACAATAGTTGGGGAAGCATGGGACCAGATGGCTGGGTTGTAGGGGCCCAGGAACAGCGGAACCCCTCTGCCTCCGGAGTGACCGTGGTTGTAGCCCACCTCTGCTGAACAGCTGGGACTTCACTGTCCACAGAGGCAGAGATGGATTTCTTGGGAGGGCCCGGAAGCTGGGGCCAGTCCCTTTACTCCACAGTCTGAGCTGCGACCTTGACAGCTCAAGTGTCCCTTGCTTTAAAATTTTTAATCTTGTCCTCAATCTAATTCAAAAGACAGATTTTGTAAAAAGTTAATTTTCTTCTGAGTATAAGTATTATATATGTTTCAAAAATTTTTTCAGAAGACTGGCAAGAAGGGAAAAAAGGGAAATCAGGAAGTCCCTCAACCACTATTAACGCCTTGTTGTTTTTCCTTCTAGGCTTTCTCCTATGCATAGATTTTATTTTTTAGATCGTTTACAATTTGATTTTTTTAAAATTTATTTATTTTTGGCTGCGTTGGGTCTTCGTTGCTGTGCGCGGGCTTTCTCTAGTTGCGGTGAGGGGGCTACTCTTCGTTGAGGTGCATGGGCTTCTCAATGTGGTGGCTTCTCTTGTTGTGGAGCACGGGCTCTAGGTGCTCGGGCTTCAGTAGTTGTGGCTCGTGGGCTCTAGAGCGCAGGCTCAGTAGTTGTGGCGCACGGGCTTAGTTGCTCTGCGGCGTGTGGTATCTTCCCGGACCAGGGATTGAACCTGTGTCCCCTGCATTGGCAGGTGGATTCTTAACCACTGAGCCACCAGGGATTTTTTTTTTTTTTTAATGTAACATAGTGACTTAGAAATATTCACATATTATCAACTTTCTGTAAATGTAGTTTTAAGGTTTTATGTGTGGCTTCGTCATACTTTATTCGCTTTCATATTCTTGCACATTTAGGTTGTTTCTTATTTTTCACTGTTTTAAGTAGTTCTTTGATGAATGACTTTTTTTTTTAAAAAGAATTTATTATTTATTTATTTATTGGCTGTTTTGGGGTCTTCATTGCTGCACGTGGGCTTTTCTCTAGTTGCGGCGAGCGGGGGCTACTCCCTGCCGCGGTGCGCAGGCTTCTCACTGCGGTGGTCTCTCCCGCTGTGGAGCATGGGCGCCGGGCACAGGGGCTTCAGCAATTGTGGCTCGCAGGCTCAGTAGTTGTGGCACACGGGCCTAGCCGTACCGCGGCATGTGGGATCCTCCCGGACCAGGGCTCGAACCCACGTCCCCTGCACTGGCAGGTGGACTCCCAACCACTGCGCCACCAGGGAAGCCCCAATGACTTTGTATATAAGGCTTTTCCCCCTTATATTTTGGATTCTTCTCCGAGATTGAATCCTAGGAATGGAATTATTGGGATGATTGTGAACATCTTTATATAATACACACATACTTGATGTACATAATCTGTCCACGGGGAGTTCTATCAATGTACATTCCTGCCAGCATATTTCTTGGCTTCTAGATGCTTGGTCAGTTCTTGAAACGTGAATGTTAATTGTGCCATTTCCCAATAAGTTTGCCAGCACTGGATATTCTCATTAAAACAATCTCACTTGTTAAGTGAAAGCTTGTTTTAATTCGCTCTTTTTGATTAGTGGTGAGTTACGACATTTTTTCATATGCACGATAATCACATATGTATTTTCTCTAATAAACTGTATTAATGAAATAAACATGTTCTTGACACGCGTAGACCTCCGACTCTGCTGAACTTGTAGCCTCTTGAGGTGGCTATCGATTACTAGGTTGACCTTCCTTTTTCTCTAGATGACTGTGGGTTTATCTCTAACAGAGATGAACATTGCCAGTGCTTGAATCCATCTCTGCTTTTCAAATAAAATTCTTTATTTTCTATCTTTTAAAAATAACTTAAATTGTTTTTTTAAACTATTACAGAAATAACATGCTCACTAACCTTACAACATTTGAAAATGCAGAGAAGTAAAGGAAAAAAATCATCTGTATTCCCACCCTACTAAATACAGTTACTACTAACATTTTGTGCTTTTCTTTCTCATCTTTAAAAAAAAAAGTTTTTACACAATAATTGTAGCCTTTTCCCCCTTAACATCAACGTTGTAACATAAACACTACCCTGTGTTATTTCAAAACTTTCATATTATTTGTGCTGTGGGTCCTGAATGTTATGTTAATCTCCACCTCCCTCCACCCCACCCCCCCCACCCCCGACCAAAAAAAGAAAAACAAAACTGGTGAACAAGGAGCACCGATTTCTTGGTTTGTTTCCTGAGCTGTGAAAATCAGCCCAACTCCCCTTCCCCTCCTCTTCTTCTAGGGGTCTGAAGATTACGAGGCTGCTCTGTTAGAAAAGGCAGCCCTTTTGGCTGAGCTGCGCTCAGAAAACCTCACCAAGAGCACAGAGAACCACAGACTGCGTAGGAGCATTAAGAGAGTCAGCCGGGAGCTGAGCGACCTGCAGCAGGAGAGGGAGAGACTGGAGAAGGAGCTGGAGGCAGCCCACCAAGAGAGGAGCAAGGGAGACTGCATCACCCACGTGAGTGCCGCTCGGCCCTCGAGGTAGTGGGCAGGGCGCTTGCGCTGGCCGGGGCTCTTTGGCTGTTTTAGGGAGACAGATATTCATCGCCGAAAGCTTAGAAAAACCGGAAGAATATAAAATATTTCACTCACCATCTCATCACCTAGAAATGACCAGTCTTAGCTATTTGATGTTCTAGTCCTTTTATTCTCTCTCTCTCTCTCTTTCTGTCACACACATGCACACACACACACACGCGTGCACATTATTGGTGCACATTATTGGTGTCAAGCTGAAAATGCATTTTTGTATTGTTTCTTTTTTTTTTTTTTTATTCAATGTTCTCCCTTTGGTGTGGGGCCGTCATGAGTGTTCTTCAAAAACGTGTTTTTTTCTGTGTGAACATAATGGTTCATCACTTGAATGTGCTACAGTTTATTTAACTAGTCCTTACTGTAGGATGTTTAGTTCATTATATATATATTTGCCTTATAACAAATGCTGCAGCAAACATCCTTGTACATAAATATTTATCCACTGATTATTTCCTGATAGAGGTATAATTACTGGGTCAAAGAGTATGAATATTTTAAAGACTATTTTATAGATACACCCAAATTGTTCTCCAGAAAGATTATACCACGTTTCCCTAGGTGAGAGTGATCTTTTTTTAAGACTACTCTATTTAGCGTTGGATGTTAGTATTTAAGAAATTCTCTCTGAATTTGGTAGACAAAAAAGTTGATCTTTTACAGTTTCTGTTAGGTTTAAATGTAAGTATTCCGCATCCTGAGAGTCACGTCCAGATCCACAGCCTCGGTGCAGTCGGGTAGCACAGGGACTGAGTCTGAGTGATTGTTGACACTCAGGTTAAACGAATTCCCTGCACGGGCGCCTGGGGCAGGCAGAGTCATTGGAGTAGAGAGCTCGAAGGAGAGCCCGCAGGTACCAGAGGTTAGTTCTCTGGTGGCTGCTGTTGGCAGGGACGGGACGTCAGGACCATAGTTTGAAATCCTAAGGCTGGCACTGACAAGAGGATTGAAATATAAATGTTTGTCTATTTTAACAGAAATTTTAATGAACATCAAGAGAGAAATAATGGAAACTTAGGAAAATAAGAAAATGTCGCCTATAATTCCACCACCCTCATAAAGTAACTCTGTTTTTCAGTATCACCCTTTAGTCCTGGTGCATTTGGGGCCCCAGTCCAATCAGAGGCTAAATGCTGTTGTGTGTTCTTTGATCACTTTCTCTCTCACGGCCATCTCCGCGTGTTGTGTAGGCTCCGGAGCAGTCATGCTGAATGATGCGTACGCGTCATTGAATAGATTTCACGTGATTTACTTAATAAAAATTTCCTGCTCTCTTGGACGTTTTGGCTGTTTAAGTAATGCCACAATGAACATCTTTGGGCATAAAGGCATTTTTTTTTTTTTCTTGAAATCCCAAGGATAGATTCTGAGGATTATACTAGTTAATCATGCTGCCAAATTATTTGTCCAAAGGGCTCACCCAGTTTATGATGCAACCAGCAGTATTGGTGTATACCAGTTTATTGCATGTTATTAAAAGACCTGATATTTATTCAGTGTTACTGAAAACCAAATGTATCTAGTTGAGATGCTGATGGAAATACATGGCATGAGCCCTGAATGTTTTATTTTTTCCTTAAGGGAGGTGAAAATGTTATACATGACAAAATGCAAAGCAGTGGAAAACCCAGAGCTAATTCATGCAGCTTACGTAGTCAGTGCGAAAGATCCTCGTGGGACAGAGTAGTCAGGGAAGCCTTCTAGCAGAGATGACACTTAAGTTGAGTGAGCAGTGTGAGGTCTGAGTCGTGTGCCTCTGTGGATGAGGTAAAGAAAAGACTGGCCAGAGGGTCCTTCTCTAGAGGTCAGTTTTCATACCAATTCTTAGATCCTTCACTGTTGGATAACATTTTTTTTTTTCAGTTTAGTTTGTCCCCTCCATCCCCCTGTATCATATAAAAATGTTTATTCAATAGAAATTGGATTCGGGAGATACACACACACACACACACACACACACACACCCCTAGGTGTATAAAATATGTAATTGTTTCTTTACATTATAACTTACACTTGAAATGGCTATATAACATTACATCAAGTGGATACGCTGTAATGTATTTACCAATCCCTCTATTATCAGACAATGTTGGTTCCATAATTCACTTATTCATGAAAACTCTAGTGCTTCTAAAAGAATTTTGGACTGCTGTTGATAAGATTTATTCCTAAGTAACATGCATACGCCTTCATAAGGAAGCAAGGAATGCTTGGCAAGGAATGGAAGGGGCATGTGACAGTGAGAGGGAGAGACTAGAGTGAAGTATACTACGGGTGGGAGTTCTTTTTTGTTGTTGGGGATAGAAACCCAGCTTTAAGTAACTTAGGCAGAAAGGGGAATGCATTGCCTTGGGTAACTAAATGGCTGGAAGGACAGGGGTGACAGGAACTCTGCCGGGACCGAGTCCTTGTCTCTCTGAGAGCTGGCTTCTCTTTCTTTTTTTCTTTTTTTTTTTTTTTTTGCGGTATGCGGGCCTCTCACTGTTGTGGCCTCTCCCGTTGCGGAGCACAGGCTCCGGACGCGCAGGCTCAGCAGCCATGGCTCACGGGCCCAGCCGCTCCGCGGCATGTGGGATCTTCCCGGACCGGGGCACGAACCCGTGTCCCCTGCATCAGCAGACGGACTCTCAACCACTGCGCCACCAGGGAAGCCCTGGCTTCTCTTTCTTGCGTCCTCTTACTCCAGCTCCAAGTGGTTGGACCCAGCATTGCCAGCCCTGCTGGGATCACAGCTCCCCAGTTTAGTAAATGAGATGAAGGAGGACTCTCACACCCCACTACCCCTGTTGTCCCCTGGTCTGGAGGGCCAGACAGGTGAGGTATCGAGAGGCCCAACTTGGGTCACATGCTCATTCTTTGTCAGAAGTGAGTGTGTGTGTGGTTGTGCGTGCGTGCGTGAGTGTGTGTGTGTGTGTGAGCTCGTGTATCATCACTGGCAGCTTCCCCTAGAACCCCATGTTTGGAGGGAGTGAGCAGTTATCCAGAGAAGGCACGGCTTTGTTTCGGGGCCGTGGGCACCAAAAAGCAGCTGTGCCTCTGGATGCTCACATCAGGTGAGCCTGCCTGTGACTCAGGGCTTCCTAGTGTCTCGTCACGGCTGCTTTTCTACATTGAGTCATGCACGTTTCTGACAAGAGGATCTGGCCGTGCTTTCTTTCTTTTTGAGCATGTATCGCACCACAACAGTATCTCTGCTTAACTTCTGGTTTCATCCTAAGAATTTGACTGTGTCCATCTCGTGAGCATGCTTCGCACCCGATCTTGGGGGCACTGGCCTGTTCAGCGTCTGGGGAACCCTGCTGGGGATGACTTTGCCTTATGGTGCTAGGACGCATGCAGAGGTAGAGTGTAACCCACCAGCCTTGCATGGCTTATCAGCTGGTTCTGTTAACTAGGCTCTTTAATTAACTAGAGCCTCCCACTCACCAGCTGCTATTGCTGTTGCTTTTGGATTGAAACAAACAAAACCCCAGGCCTTTTGGTGGCCCCTGTGTCTGGCTTGGCAATGGAAAGGACTCCCATTCATGCATTCAGCCATATTGAACGCTTTGTGCAGGCCCTCAGCTCTGCCTGGGGACAGTTCCGGGACGGAGATAGGAACAGAGTAACCATGGGAGCACAGAGCAGGATTGGAGAAGGCTCCCCGGGAAAGTAACTTTCGAACTGGTTCTGAAGTTTGAGTTGAAGGTTACCAGCTAGGCGAGGGAGACGAGGGTTTCGTATAGGAGGTGAAGGTACACAGATGTGAGAGAGTGTGGTGTTTGGGGGAAGAAGAGTTTGGGGCTGTAGTGAAGGGTGGCTTTAACCTAGAGAGAGGCTGAATTGTAGAGGGCCTTGGATACAGAGTTTGGGAGTGTGGACTTGACCTGCAGGCAGTGGGGCCGCTGTCGAGGGGGAGTTGAGCAGAGGATTGTTAGATTTGCAGTTTAGAGAGACTTGTCTGATGGAGGTCTGGAGAATGGGTTGCCTGCAGAGAGCCCGGAGACAAGAAGATGAGAAAAGGTACGTGACGTGTGTCAGGCTCCGGGAGGTGGGGGATAGAGGGGAAAAAGAACCTGCTCCTCTGTAACGGAGCCGCTCAGGTGTGGCTTCTGGGCTGTCTGGGTGCATAGTAAGCTCCCCTCCAGGACTCGTGAGTACTCAGCATTTACTCGAACCTCACTGCATCCCACAGGTAGAGCTGAAAAACACCGGGAAGAAAATGTGTTCCAAACACTGGTCTTTTTCTCAGTCCACATTCAGCTCAATCCTCAACACCCTCTGTTAATGAAAACTGCTGTTACAGAGTGATAGAAATGAAGCAGATACGATTTCTTAGGCGTATTCTTCTCCAGTGCACTTTACAGTTAATACAAGGACTGCCTGTCTTTCCCTTGGTGCTCACAGCCCTGTGATTGGGCATACAAAAGGTTTTTCCCATTTTATAGATTAATCAGAGCCTCAGAATTTTTGTTTTTCTTTAATAAATTTATTTATTTATTTTTCGCTGTGTTGGGTCTTTGTTGCTGTGCACAAGCTTTCTCTAGTTGCGGTGAGCCAGGGCTACTCTGCGTTGAGGTGAACGGGCTTCTCATCGCGGCGGCTTCTCTTGTGGAGCACGGGCTCTAGGCGCGCAGGTTTCAGTAGTTGCAGCACGTGGGCTCTGTTGTGGCTCGTGGGCTCTCAAGCGCAGGCTTAGTAGTTGTGGCGCATGGGCTTAGTTGCTCTGCGACATGTGGGATCTTCCCTGACCAGGGCTCGAACCCAGGTCCCCGGCACTGGTAGGCGGATTCTTGAAATTTTTTTTTTTTTTTTTGTGGTACGTGGGCCTCCACTCTTGTGGCCTCTCCTGTTGCGGAGCACAGGCTCCAGACGCGCAGGCTCAGCGGCCATGGCTCATGGGCCCAGCCGCTCCGCGGCATGTGAGATCTTCCTGGACCGGGGCAC